GGTACCGGAACGAAATCGTTGTCTAATCTCTTTAGTCGCCGGGGTCAATTATTTTAAGACATGGGTACCGAAATATTACAGAGTTGCAAGTAAACATTGCTACATGGAATATATATTATTTACTTACCTATTCAATGAAGATCACTGATGACGAAAATATGAAATCAAACTGTAATATGAAACGAAAACTGTAGAAAGCATAGGGCATAGAAACGCAACAAATCCTGACGTCACTTTTTACTGGCGAGAATGGGAACACTTCTCCAGTCAGTAAGATGACGTCACCCTAGTAATATTATTTTACTGACTGGTAAAGGGACTATGGGAAGACAGCCAGAAGAGGGTGTTACGACAAATGGTCGGATTTCCAATCCGATCGAACAGTGGTACTCAGTTGGTGCATTTCAAAAAAACTCCCTAGCTTAATCGGATTTTGGTGCCTGTCATGAAGGAAGATATAAGGAGACTCCACTCGGTCTCGCCAGTCTACAAGACATGAACCCATTTTAGGTTTCGAGTTCCGTTTCCGATTCTCGACACTCGCAGCGCTCGTGAATTTAGTAGTGCTGCGCATAATGAGTGCGAGTAAGAGAAATGATCATTTCTCTTACTCGCACTCATCAGAATCGGAAGCTGAACTCGAAACCTAAAATGGGTCCACTTTTATTTTACGGAGTGGAGTCTCCTTATATCTTACTTCCTGGTGCCTGTCTAGAACGTCATGGTGGAAATATAGAAGGTGAGTCGTTCCCGTGGATGCGCAGTAGCCTAAAAGTAGTGGGGAGCAGACAGCCAATCATAAATGACCCATTTGGCATAAATCCAATATGGCTGTGTTACTGGAGCATAGCGTATGTTATTACGACTATAATTGTGTAGAGAAAAAAGAAGAAAATTATTGTGTAATTAATAAACGAATTATATGAAGGTTTTGTTCAGAATATGTAATGTATATAATATAATATGCAATATAATAATAGAGGTTAGTAGATACAATATGTAATAAGTATATATTTTTCATATATAATATTGTGTACAATAATATAATATTGTTACAGTATGCAATATTAAAAATTCTCTATTTCGCAGGTTATCTTTGTGTTGACTCTATATTAAAATGCCAACGTTTTATTCTTTATAAAGTCAGATATGGAGATAACTCACGAAATGAAGAATTTTATTATTTTATTATTTTTATTATTATTTTATTATTTTTATTATTTGATTAATATATAGAGTCTTATTAAATATTCCTTCCTTTTATTATTATTATTATTATTATT